ATTATACTTTCACATTTGCAGTCAACAAATTTCTATGCCCTTTACTTAAAAAAAAACGTAATATTTTTTATTTTTATCTTCTTAGACTATCATTAAAATACATTTTTGCTTTAAAAAAAATAAAAAATAAGATATATTTAGAGATTTTTTTTATCATTTCATTTCATGCAGGTTTGTTTATCATTTTCAATATTATAAAGAATATTTTGATATTTTTTTGTTAATTTTTTTTTATTTTAAAAAATTGATGGCACATAGATGTAATTTGTGCCTTTTTGATGACACGTTTAACATCATCTAGTGATCAAAGCTAGTTTTTTGTGGTGCATTTAAAAGTATTATCACATCCTATCCTATTTCTTCTAGCGTGGCATGTGATGGTAGATAATGGGTGTTATTTTCTCTTTTAGTTTTTCAATTTTAGTTTGTATATATTTTATAATTTATTTTTTTTCTTAGCCCTTTTTAGAAAAGGTTTTATGTTTTCAATTCATTTCTTAAATTACAATAGTTAATATTTGTTTTTCAATTTGCTCCTTATTTTTTTGAATTCTGATTTTTTCCTTCATTTTTAATTAAAGTTTTACTAGTTTTCAAAGTTTTTTTCTTTTCAATTTAGCCTTCCAATTTAAATTTTATTCATGCCATCTAATTTATTTATTATTTTTATTTTCACCCTTATTATTTTAATTATAATTTTTTATATGTTTGATTTTTTTTTCAATTTCATTCTTCAATATTTGATTTGTTTATAATTAGATTTTGTGGTTTTTTTATTTGTTATGCTTCTGATTTAATGATACAAGTCATAAGTTTCAAGAGTTAATACAACTAAGAATCCTTTTTTCATCATTTTGTTTTACAATTTTATCATTTTACATCATTTTTTTTATAAAAAAGTTGGTTTTGTGGTTATCTTTAATTTTTTTCTATCAATTTATATTGATCTCATGACTTAAATAATAAGTTTTACATGTTTTTTTTATAATGGTTTTTTTTCTAGATGTTTTGTTTTGTATTTATTTTTTAAAGATTTTTCTATTTTATACAAATAAGCTTTATTTTATAAAAAATAATTATTTGAAGTAATATTTTTAATATGTTCGGCATTATATAATTTTTTTAATTTTTTAATTTATTTTAATAAATAAATTCAGTAATTACAAAAGGGAAGATAATGAATACATTTATATCACTTGTCATCTTCTTTCTTTTTTTATTGCTATTAAAGATTACCGTGAAATCATACTCATGAGTGCACTAACTAGCAAATAATTAAAAGAATAGAACCACCAATTCAAATATGGTTTTGTTCTGTTTTTTCATGTAAATTACTTCTTTTTTTTCTTTTTTTTCTTCAGGCTGTAGGTTCCTGGAATTGAATCTCTAAAAGATTAGCAGTATAGAGCCATTATAACATGAATTGTTTTTTTTTTATAAAGGCAGAAAAAAAAAGGGGAAAGTGAAAGGAAAAAACAAAACAAAGGGAACCCAACGGAATCTAATCAAACAGGGGGGCTTGCTTGTTTAGGAATGGTAAGTGAGATGCTTTTATAAAGATATTCTTGAATTGAAATATATATAAATAATTTTTAAAATTATTATATTAAAATCATTTTAAAAACATCTATTAATGAAAGATACTTAAAAAAATAGATTGAAATACATAAACAAATGCTAAATTATGGTGCTAAGGAAAACAAAAGGCAGCAAACAGATTCCAAAGGTTTTTTTTTTTAAATAATAATAATAAAATAAAGTGTAAAGTGCAGGATTGTAATAGATTAAGACAAATAGTAGAACAAGAGAACAAGTGAACCTTAATAAAGTTGAGGTACATTCCGGAGTGGTTCCTTGTGGGTCAAATGATCAATTATGCATAATTACTAGTGCTCCGCTACATCTTAGTTAAGTTTGCAACAATCTCTTTAGTACTTATTTTGTATGATGTTAGAGCATCTTCAAGGAGAGAAGATAAGTCACCTAGAAGAATCGCGTTGATTATATGAATTTTTAATTAATTTAATATTAGGGAAATAAAATTAATAAAATAAATTAAAATAAAAAAATAAATAGAGAAACACTATAGTAATTTATAGTATTTCATAAAAAAATTTAAAATTATAATTTTTAAACAGTTTGATATTAAAAAATAATTTTGCAAAAAAATTATAACAAAAAAATAATGTGGTGAAATATTATAGCACTCAACGGTGTAAAAAACTCATGTGGGAAAAAAAACTTAAAAAAAATATATAAGTCTTTTCACTATGTACTGTATTGTGCAGTTCATAGTAAAAGGTGTAAAAAAAAATTAAAAACATCAGTTTTTTCACTATGGACTATATACAATATAAAAATATTAAATTAAAAGTGAAAAACTAATGAGAAAAAAAAATCAGAATTAACTGAGTTAACCTGTCAAATCAGGTTGACCCGTCAAACTTAAGATCTGTGTCATAGATATGTATCATAAAAGTATGATAACTAAATAAAAAAAATATTAATAAACTAAATTTAAAAAAAGGTTAATTAAAAAGGAAAAAGCAAAGAGAAAAAAATATATAAGAAAAAAAACTAATGAAGAAAAGGAAAAAAATCCGAATTAATTGAGTTAACCCATAAAATTGAGTTACTCGTTAAACTTGAAATCCGTGTCATAAAAATTTGATAATTAAATAGAAATAAATTTAATACCAGCAAACTAAATTAACAAAAAAAATTAATCAAAAAACAAAAAACAAAGAGAAAGAGAAAAAAAACTAAATGCATCAGCTTTTTCATTGTAGATTGCATTGTGTAGTCCACAGTAAAATGTTTAAAAAGAAAAAAAAAACAAAGGTGTATGCCACGAGTTAATTTTTTTCTTTCACAAAAACTATCAAAAAATACTAAGATCTAAAAATGTTAGGTCTTTATGCAAAAATATACCTAGTAGTCTTGGATCTAGTTGCAATGATTGATCCAATAATAATATTTATAATATTAATAAAAATATTAAACTTACATAACCTAATTTTAAGTGAGTCTGACTGTAACACCGAATCCAAGAGTCTCGGATATAGATCTGGCTGTAAAGTTGTGTCATAAAAGTGTGATAATTAAATAAATTAATTAAAAAAACAATAAAAAAAACTAGAGAAAAAAGAGAAAAAAATCTTAATTAACTGGGTTAACACTTTAAATCAGGTTAACCCATTAAACTTGAGATTCACATCATGAAAGTTTGATAACTAAATACAAAATAAATTAATGAGTTAACCCATAATTAACTGGGTTAACTCGTCAAACAAAGTTTATCCATCAAGTCCTGAATACATATCATGAAAGTGTAATAATTAAATAAAAAAGATTCAACATTAATAAACTAAACTAAATGAAAATAGTTAATTAAAAAAAAGCAAAAAAATAATAATTTCAGGTTAACTCTTTAAAACAAGTTAACTTATGAAACTCGGGATTCGTGTTATGAAAATTTAATAACTAAATAAAAAATTTAATATTTAAAAACTAAATTAAGCAAAAAAATACTAAGAAAAAAACAAAGGAAAAAAAAACCTTTAAGGCATAAAAAAATAAAATAAAAATTCAAAATTTTAAATAAAAATTATTCAACATTTTACTGTAAATTATACTATATAGTGCAGAGTAAAACACTGAACAATTTTAATATATATTATAATTAATATATAAAATAGATTAAAGTGAAACACATAACTATAATAGAATACAATTACATATAATATATTCAATAACTTAAATTTAATTTTTTAAATTAAAATATTTTTATTAAAATTAATCATCAATATCATAAATTTAAATTTCATCACTTTTATTTTTTATAATTAAATTAAATAAAATTAATTACAAAATAGTAATCAACATCCACAATCTCAAAAGCTTTCACATATTAAAAATATATTATAAGATGATAAAGTTTTTTTAAATAATTTAAATGTAAATTTTTGAATTAAAATGATTATTTGAAAATATTTATGTTTTTGAGATTTTCTTTTTATATGTTGTTAAATTTCATTTATTTTTAATTTGAATTAAAAAATAGAAAAAAACCTAATACATTTATTCCCGGTATACAAAATTGGTTAAAATACAACTCAAAACAGGCCCCTCTCCCTTTACATGCTTTTATATTTGTATCTGTCGATCGATCGAGGCATGATTGTATTTAGTGACCAGATGCCTTCACGTACGAAAGTCCATTAAAATAATGGGACTTTTGTAATTTTGTGGTTTATTATTGAGGAGAAGGCAGGATGGTTCCTTTTCTTTTGAATTATTTTTAGCAAAAAGATGCCATCACACAGCATGATCTGATAGCTACTTCCCCTTTGCATTGACATGTGGTGTTCACCGTCACGTGTTGCAGTGTATAATTTTTATTAGGGGTAAAAAAAATAAAAATAAAAAAATCTATTAAACTGGAAAAATAAAATAATAATAATAATAATAATTGAATTAATAAAAAATAATTAAATTAATTTTTTTAAAAACTGGTTTAATTTGATAAATCTAAAAAATTGGTTTGATTTAATAAATTTAAAATTAAAAAACTAAACTAAATAAAATTTAAATTTAAAAAATCATGCTAAATAAAAAAAAAATTAATTTAAATTGAAACAGGTTGTTTTGAGCTGATTTTTATTTAAAAAAATTAAATTAAAATTAATTAATTTGAATTAGTTTTAATTTGGTTTTTAATTAATTTGATTTTTTATAAAAATTAAATTAAATTGAAAATAATTATGTTTAAAATTTATTTTTTAAAATTATTAATATAAATTTCATAACATTAAAAATTTATATAATTATTAATTTAAAATTTATAAAATTAATTAAAATACTGCCAAGCTGCCCTCTACCAACAACGTTAATAATAATAATAAAAAGAACTGTTAAAGGATGATGGCCGTGCATTTGACTTGCTCTTGATAAAATATGCATTGTTCTGTTCTTACACTTTGTGGGAGCCTCGAATTGTGTATAAAAAGTCGACATAGCATTAATATTTGGCACACACATTCACTCACTCTCTGCCTAACCTCCTTGCCTTGATCCCTTGTTGAATCCCAATCTCTTCTCAGCTCTTGTTTCTTCTTCTACCTCTTCTTCTTCACCTTCTCTACATGGTCTGTGTTATAGAGCTTGCTTTGCTGTAGTTTTGAAGCTGGATAGGTCTATTTTCATCGTTCTTCCTTAGCCAGACCTTTATAAAAACATTCAAAGCATGTAGGCTTTTGCATTCCCAGAAAAACCCACCAAAAAAGAAAAGAAAAACAGAGAGAGAGAGAAAAGATTTTCAAGTTTTGTCTATGCATAGAGCTTGCCTCCCTTCTCCTATTCCTTAGAAGAAATTTTATAAAAACCAGTAAAGCATGTAATTGTATTTCTTCTTGATTTCCATCATTACCCAAAAAAACAAAAAAAAAAATAGTTGTAGAGATTTATTATGTTTCCATATTAGGAGATCTATAGAGTTGTTGATCGTCCTAGCAACTTATAATCAAAAACCAAGAGGAAAAAAAGTTTGAAAGAGGAGAATGCCGGAGTCAGAACCTGGAACGCCGGCGGTGTCGGCACCGAATACGCCGGGGACGCCTGGAGGGCCACTTTTTACAGGGCTAAGAGTGGACTCGCTATCCTATTCAGATAGGAAAATAATGCCGAAATGCAAGTGCTTGCCCGTCACTGCTCCGACTTGGGGTCAACCCCACACTTGCTTCCTTGATTTTCCTGCTCCTGATGTTTCTCTTACTCGTAAGGTAATCTCTTCTCCCTATCACTTAAAACTGAGTGATATTCCGGTAGTTCAAGCTTTTTAAATTACTTTTTATATCGATGTTGTGTTTATGGTTTTAATATCTTGATGTAAAAAATACCGAACACACACTAAATTATCATTATGTTTGATATTCCGGGCGGTGGGAGATTGTATTTTTATCCACAGAGTTTGCATTTTGTTTTTACCAAAGGACCTCATTGATTTGATGCAATAAGAGAGTGATGAAAAAGTTTAGGCACGCTCCAATTATCAGCCTCCGACAGGCTACTAACCACCCAAATTTTAAAGTCTAAGTGGGCCGTCGGTGAAAAGCCGAGTTGGTGGCCGTAAGTCTGAATGCATGTGATGGCCTGGCTCGTAGGGTTTTTGTTTTTTTAATTATTATTACTAGTCACAAGTCAAATGTTGTTGAATAAATCTTAGGTGTATATGTATTAATAACACGATGCAAGTATTTTTATAAGAATATATTTACGTTTTCCTGATTCTTTCTGATATTTTTTACATCTATCTATTAAAATTATCTAAAAATATTTTTAAAACAACTCAAGCACACCCTCAAAGAATTATTAATCATAGCTAAGCTCAAAACTTCAAATTTAATTTAATTTAATTGCATGGGAAATTGTTATGGCATTTTTCCAGTGTGGTACCATCTTCCACCACCCTTGAAAAATTATGGTGAAATCAGGCCATAAAATTTCTTGATTTGTCTTCATGACCACTAGGTGATCAGCTTGCATGATCGTTTTGGTAAGTTAAATATGGTTTTCAAATTAAATAATATCAGAAAATTAAACTAAGATGAGGTTGGGGAATTTGTGTTCTAGATTTATTCTAATAATTTTTCTATAGTACCTTAAGTTTGTGGCTGGAAATAAAACAGGTGACATAGGTGAAAAGGATAAATATGAGTAATTTTTGTTTTGAAAACTTTCCAGAAGGCCAAAAAATTTAAAAAATTAATGAATTGAATTAATGTGTAGTCCTGGAAGTTGAAAAATATAGTTGAGGACCTGAATAAATTATAATCTTGAAATCATCTTACCTGCTGAATAGAGTATGGTTTGGAGCAACATCATCATGTGCTACAAGATAAGATGTTTATCTGTCTCTTGATCGAGGACAAGCTAATCAAACATTAGAAGAGTAGGATTGGAATTAATGACCTTTCTATAGTGTTCGCGAGTATAATAGTTTTTTTTTAAATTAATATTTTGAGTAATTCTTAATGATTTTGATATATTAATATTAAAAATTAAAATAATAAATAAATTATTTTAATATATTTTTAAATAAAAAATACTTTTAAAATAAAAACATCATGCAAAATAATTCTTAAACACACACTTAATCATTTGGTTTTATATAGAGCCAATTCATTTGTAGCTAAATTATTAACCTCCCTTTTGTTTTCTCAAATTATTTTGAATGATTCATGATAATCAATCCTGTTATGTTCATTCCAAATGAATTTTTCAAGTAATATCAACAATTGATGATTGATTCCAAGTGGGTATCAAGCGTTTAATTAGTATACCAATAAATAGTTGAGACATTATTCCAGAAATTAATTAGGATTGAAATGAAAGAATAAAATAGTGCACAATGCATTAATTGAACTGGTTGCCTTTCATCATAAAGTAATGATTAAAAACACATCATTGATTCCAAGAGGATTTAAAAATTGATTATTTGAAGATTAAAAATTGATTACAATTAATCGGAGCAAGCATTGTTTAAATATGTATTGTTCTTGAGTTTTAGAAAATTAGAGATTTTAAGTTCATCATTGCATTGTAAATATTGATTTTGGTTCAATGCAGCTCGGAGCAGAATTTGTGGGAACCTTCATCCTGATATTTGCAGCAACAGCAGCACCAATAGTGAACCAAAAGTATAATAGTGCGGAAACGTTGATTGGAAATGCAGCTTGCGCAGGACTGGCAGTGATGATCATAATCCTATCAACTGGGCACATTTCTGGAGCCCATTTGAATCCATCACTCACCATTGCCTTTGCAGCTCTACGCCACTTCCCTTGGGTGCAAGTTCCTGCCTACATTGCAGCACAAGTGTCAGCCTCCATCTGTGCTTCTTTTGCTCTTAAAGGAGTCTTCCATCCCTTCATGTCTGGTGGCGTTACTGTTCCATCTGTGAGCACTGGCCAAGCTTTTGCACTCGAGTTCCTCATCACTTTCAATCTCCTGTTTGTTGTCACTGCCGTCGCCACGGACACTCGTGCTGTAAGCATTTTACCCATGAGTTGCATCTTATCTGCATTCTGCATGAGCATACTCGCGCACGCATCTATGTCAGCTTACATGTTGTCTCTTTAATGGACAGGTGGGAGAGTTGGCAGGAATTGCAGTTGGAGCTACGGTTATGCTGAACATTCTTGTTGCAGGGTGGGTTAACTCTAATCAACCTCTTCTTTCTTTAGTCATTCATTGATTCATTTTTGTAGTTCTTAGATAATTTCTGGAAGGGTGTAAAACTCAAAATGCCCTTAGCGTACCTTGAAATTTCTTTTAGGCTATTTATGCTTTGATTATTTCTTTAGTTTCGAATAATTTTAAAGTGAAATTCTCTTCTTTTAAAATAAAAAATACAGAGAAATATATATTTTCTGTTTTTATTATCCAATAACTAAACTTCATCTATAAAATATTTTTTATTATTTCAGAATTTGATTTTGAGAATATTATTGGTTGGTTGTGAAAAAAAGAGGAAAGAAGTTTGAATTAATGCAAGTTGAAAAATGCACCCAAAATTCTACCTAAAGACCTTGCATTCTCAAAATTATTTGCAGTAGCAAATTGTCATCTTGCTAATAATACAGGGGCCACCCTTCAATAATATAATAGGAAAGAGCCTAAACTGTCCTATCTGGTAGCGCCACCACTTCTCTGTGA